AGGGGTTCTCGGGCCTTGTATTGGATGAAGAAGAGTATAAAAAATACAGCCTGCTTAGTAAATAAGATTTCTTCATTTTGGTCCAATAGTCAACAAGTTACTCCTACAGATGGATTCACTGAAGTGCCCTTTTTTTTTTTTAAATCAGTTTGAGATTTACTGACTCCCTTCTCCGCTTGGCCTTATGCCAGACAAAGCGATCTAATAAATATCATTGCGTTCAGGCCGGTTCTCATCCCGGATTTCGATGAACAAGGAATCTCTTCTATTTTGCTCGACATAAACAAATTCTCTGTAAATCCTGCTCTGTTCACTTCGTTTCCTGTTATTACGCCGACAACCCTATCTGTTCTCAAACACAGACCGATGGCTTCTCACCGCTGGGAATCGTTCAGCAGGGATCGCCTGCCAGTCTCATTCCAAGGGCCCTGCGAATGACACAACTTCCTTCTCTTCAAGGATTGCGTTGTTGTCAACAAAGTGGCCCAGACGATTAACACTGCATTGGTAAGTAAGACAACAATGTGAAACCTTTTTTTATTATTATTTTTTTTTAATATCTATTTCTCTATATCTATTTTTCTATTCGTGATCTATTTCCTTGTTTATTTCATAAAAATGAGTCAGATGTATTCGAGATAAAAGAATTGAAATATGCAACAACAGTTTATTCAAATAAAAACTGTTGAATAGTGTTATTAATACTAATGTTTTTAATTGATTTTTATCAGGCTAATCCAGTTTAATACTGTTTGTTGATAATTCTTAGTGTAAAAAAAAAGATTCTAAATCTATGTTAATTATAACACATCAATAGGAGTAGATAACTTCGCCTATCGCCCGGTTCACATTCCTTCCCATATCTATTAAACAGGAGTTTTACTTCTTTGTTTCCTGTTTAGGATTGGGTTTTTGGTCCCTTCTAAAGTTTTCTCGTTCTCTTTCACTTTCAGCAGCTCCTTGCGTCTGGGTGACATTCTTGCCTTGTTTGGGGTGGATTGATTAGAAAAAATTGTATGTAAATTAGCAACTACTATAGAATATTTTTCTTCCTCAATAGGAATACATAGGTTAGCCTATCATCCGTTTCACACTCTTGCCCTGTCTTTTGAATAGAAATACAGCTTTATCCCTTGTTTCCTGTTCAGGATTGGGCTTCCGATTTCTTGTAAAGTCTTCTCATTCTCTTTCACTCCCATTAGCCCCTTGCGTCTTAGTGATATTTTCGCCTTGCCTGGGGTGAAATGATAAGACAAAAATATTAAAAACTATTAGTAGTACTCGTTAAAATTTTAAGGTTTGGGTAGGTGAATTTTCTCATGAATCATAATTCTTAATATTGAATTTTTTTTAACATTAATATTCACCCTATACAAGACGCAAGAGTTAATCGAGCTAGTGGATTACAAGAGATTGATTTGTTTTTACGGCTTATCAATCATTTGATGGTTATTTAAGGCCAGAAAATATATTTTAGATTGTAAGAAATGTTTGAGATAATAATGATTTACTGATACAAGTTCTACTAATTAACCCATAGGTGGGGGAAGAGGTGCATTCATACCTTGCTTAAGAGTATTTGCGCGTAAGCGGATATAACGAACTCGACTGGAATTCGAAGTCGGCTCTCTTATTTCTAATTCCAAACCATCTAGGTCACTCATCTAGGTACTGACCCGATTCGACATTGCTTAACTTCGATGATTGTATGAGAACCGGTGTTTCAACATGCTATGGCCATAAGCCTACAGAGCAAGAGGCACAGTTTGTTAGGATATATAGAGAAGATAATGGTTGCCTCTAAACTTAAACAAATTAAGATTGTAGTGATCGGGGAAGCATCCTCATGGGAGTCGGTTCCACAAAGCAGCGGTTCGTTGGGAGAAACTGCTTGAATGGAACTTACATCTCACCAATGGAATACGAAGGAAATGAGGGTAATTCACTACAGTGTGCGCGGAATGACAGGTCTTAGCGGTGAAGGTCTGAACAGATGGAACTAAGAAATGGTAATGGAAATAATGAGATAGCAGCGAAAGCCTTGCAACGTTTTGCCTATAGGAAAGGTAGGGTGGAAAATAATTCATCACCCACAAGGACGAAGAGACGTTTTTTGGACTCTGTCGAGACTGAAGATTGAAGGTTTATGCGAGTGGACACCTTGTGCCGCATGTAAGCGACGTTTAGAAAATTATCATCTGTGGCAGTAGGACTTCATTTTCGGCCTGATCCGGCTCTTGTAAAGGCAGAGGCTTGCAGGAGTCGGGTAATTACTGGAACGGTACAGGAAACCGGACATTTTTCCTGCATCTTTAGTAATGGATTTTATGTAGGAGTTGTTTAAGCTCCTTGCGAAATATTGCAGTAAGTGCGAATTGAGGTTATTATTTAAATAAGTCGAAGGAGAGAAAAGAAAAAAATTTCCACTTCGCTGAAACAGACGAAAAATGCACGACAGTAGTCGCTTTCTCTATTTTCCGTTTTTTTCTTTCTTTTCTTTCTTTCTTCTCTCTTTCTTTCTTCTCTCTTTCTTTCCTCTTTTCTTTCTTTTTTTCTTTTCTTCTTTCTTTTTTTTTTCTTTTTTTTTTCTTCTTTCTTTCCTTTTTTCTTTCTTTTCTTTTTTTCTTTCTTTCCTTTTCTTTCTTTTTTTTCTTTCTTTCCTTTTTTCTTTCTTTCTTTTTCTTCTTTCTTTCCTTTTTTCTTTTTCTTTTTCTTCTTTCTTTCCTTTTCTTCTTTTTCCTTTTCTTCTTTCTTTCCTTTTTTCTTTCTTTCTTTTTCTTCTTTCTTTCCTTTTTTCTTTCTTTCTTTTTCTTCTTTCTTTCCTTTTTCTTTCTTTCCTTTCCTTTTCTTCTTTCTTTCTTTTTTTTTCTTTCTTTTCTTTCTTTCCTTTTACCTTTTTTTCCTTTCCTTCTCCTCGCTGAAACCTGATGTTTTTTTTTTTTATCTTTCCTGGCAATGGAAACTGAATTGTCCATTATCTCTGAGGTTTTAGCAGCGCGTAAGAAACGAAAGTACAAATAAAAATTTCATATGAGGATACAGTCTGACCTATTAATCCAGCTTTTAATTAGCTCCCCCCCCCATTAGTTCGTTGAGCGTTTTGGTGATACAGTCTTACTCATTTTTTATATATAGTAGCATATTTACCCATTCAAGATGCCACCCAAGTGAGCAGGAGATGCAGATTATGTTGCAAGAGATAAGAAGCATAAACATAAATCTTTATGACATCAGAACTACAGGTGGATGTGAATCAGGGGTACATATTCGCCAGGATTACGTGGCAAACTTCACCTATTCCACAAATTCATTATCGAAACATATGCAGTTTGATGGATCAATGAGAGTAGAATTTAAAAATTTGTTAAAAAAATATTTAAAATGGAAAAAAAACAAATTAAATTTTTAGAAGCCGAATTGTTTTAAGGGTTAAAGAACAAATTTTGAAACATAATTTACCTTTGAGTTTCAGATAGACTGGACGAAACGATTATTCTCTCTTCGAAAAACAACCACCCAGGACATCCGTCTTTCCACCACTATATTATATATTCAATAAATATTGTTTACTCTGACACAAGTTCAAGGTATTGAAGCACACAGTGAGGTTCAAACTCACTTCACCATCTAAAGGCCTGTGTGAGGAATCTACATAGCATCGTGCTATAGGAGGCGTGCAACTTAAAAAAAATAGTTGGCAATTTTACGATGGGTGCTGAAAAGTTCTCGGCTAGACCATAATTTTAGGAACGGGAGCGGGCCGAGAACTTTTCAGCAATCATTGGATGGTTGAAGAGGATTCCTACCTCTGTCTCATCCCGATAATTATTTACTAAGCTTAGCTTGCCACAAGTCCACATATACTGGACACGCAAGAAAGATTGTACTTACTTTTTCTTCTATGTATCGTGTCCCCTGATGACACAGGCGATCATGGCTCTCCACAACTTCCTGTTCTTTATAGCCCTCAATAAATGCTGTCTTTTTGTTATCTCTCCTAGACTCCGTTCTGTCATCCATTCACTCGAGCTAGCCAGATAAATACGTTGTTTTTCTTCTGTCTTTCTTGCTTACAATCTGACCTGTGAGTATCAAGTCATCCAAGCCCTCTTTCCTCACTTTATGTCCTAGAAATTTCAACTATCTCGGTCCATGGTATTCTCAGTATCCTTCTGTAGAACTACATTTCTTTAGTCAACTAAAAGAGCCCACTGAACATTACCTCACGTCGAGGAGCTCTGTCCCATAAGAGGTGCTCCGTTTAATGTATGAAAAGAACGGGAACAATTATTATGCAACAAAAGAATTAACACTTCAAATAAAATTCTTAAGATAAATACTTACGTGATATTCCATACTACCAGTGTTTACTGTCTTATTAGAAAATTATGATAAAAAGTCTGATAGCAGAACTTAATTAAAATCTAGTAAACTTAATAAATACATTTATCACATCTGAAGAATCCTGAAATCTGTTTTGTCAATAGATATATCTGATTTAATTAAATATCACAGATAATATTTTCTCCTGGATTGTCTGTTTCATTGTCAGTTAACCCTAGAAAACTAACCATCAATTAAAGTTACACCACTACTAACCATGGGTATATAATACCCGATTTTGAAAATATCAAAAAAAAAAAAATATTAAATACAAATCTTTATTTGAAATATTTTACATGCAGGCAATTCAAACTTTGTACTTTGAGTTAACATTAATAGGAACTGAAAAAAAACATATAGGTAAGAAAATCAGGTACTGAAAATTGTAATTAAAAATAGGAAAATTTGCGCAGGGTACTATATACCCATGGTTAGTGTTCTAGGGTTAAGAAGTCTTACTAATTAACCCATGACTTGGGGGAGAAGAAGTGGATTCATACCTTTCCCAAGGATATTTGCGCATTAGTGAATATAGCGAACCTCACTGGAATTAGAACTCGGCTCTCCGATTAACAATTCCGTGCCTTTATCCATTACACCACCCGCACATTCAAGGTTCCAGCACCTGTAATTCTCAAGCGGGCACCTATCTAGGTACTGTCTCGGCTCGATGTTGCTTAACTTCGGTGATCGTACGTGAACCGGTGTTTCAACGTGATACGACCTTAAATCGAAAAAGAAATCTGTGAGTAGAGTTCGAATTCTGACCGAATTAGTTCTGTTTACTTTCGCGTAAAGACCCAACCAATCAGAAAGAAGTCTTATGAAGAATCTGTCTCATAGACGACTTAAATGAAATGTCAGCAGATACTAGCATAATCCGTATTGCCAAGAGGACAGTTGTGTTGCTCGACAAGTAGCTAGGAGAGTAGGTAAGGATAACTCAAGTAAAGAAGCATGCTACTTAGAATTATTAAGGAAACGTGTAGGGAACTCCACTACTTGACAGAAAGACTGAAGAACGCAAAAATTGAAAGTCTGAATAGCGGCAACATCAGTAACATTAGAATGATTATGCCATTTGATATGATTAGCTATAAAATCAACAAACACAAAAATGTTCGCAGATGAATGTAGACAGAGAGAGGGCGCGCGCTATTTCTTTATTGTCAGGTATATGTTACAGTCCTGAGAAGAAGGAGAGCGATAAAGAGAAACGAAATAGTTAACAGAGTGTAATAAAGAAAGTCGAAAGTACATGAATCATCTGAGAACTCGAAAGACAAGTCTCTTGTTATTGGAAAGGTTTGTTCTCCTTATACTGCTCAATTATTAATAGCTATGTTTCACAAATTATTTCACAGAAGAGGCTATTTAAGAATCTAGACTAGAGTTTTTAGGTTAATGTTTAGATTTTGTAGCAATGTAATTTGCGTTGTTGGACGAAACTACTCCTGATGAAGTTTATTTTATGTTCAATCTCCTTATATCTTATAGTAAATTTGTTATAACTGATCCATGCACCGAGAAGTGTTTAGTAGTTACTAATTTCATATCCTGAATATTTGATCGATTACTTTCATTCCAATCGGGTGATCCATAATTGTAGCTTTGTACCAAATCACTGCAATGCAATGAATGTTGGCGGTGTAGGAAGAAAATAAAACATATCACAACAGTGTGCATTTACGGACAATGCAGAAGAACAAGAGTTCGATTTCACTAATCATTACCAACCGAGATTAATACTTCATTTTATTTATCTTTACCTCACTATTTTCTGTTATATATACATGCAAGACACAGAAAGAAAACTACCGGAACTGTAACACAAGTGAGTTAAGGAAAGCGTGAAGAAAGGACTAACCGTAAATTGTAAAAAGACAGAATATATGATGGTCAATAAGAGAAAAAGTCCAAGATGCGAAGTACAAATTGAAGATAGTTAAATTTCTGTACTTGCATGATGTTGCTATCTGGAAGGCATTTTAACAAACGACAGAAAATGTGGCCCCGAAATCCGAAGGTGCGAATGAGGAAAAATGCCTTCTAAAAATTTTAAAAAATATAAGGAAACAAGAAATTTTCATTTGAAACAAAGAAGAGTATTCAACTCATATGTAATATCAGTTTTCCTTTCTGGCAGTGAATACTGGGCAATTACTTTAAAGATGAGGAGATAACGTGAGGCAACAGAAATGCGGTTCTACAGAAGGATGCTGAGAATATCATGGACGAATCACGTAAGCCACTGTAATCTTTTAAGGAAAATAGAAAGAACACTTGTACGTAGAATCAGAAAGAGAAATCTTTTGGGTATATAATAAGAAAAAAAGGGTCTTGGAGAATTTGACACACACAGGACATATTGAGGGTAATAAGAACAGGAAGAAACAGCGTGGAAACTACCTAACGAGTTTGTGTAAATAGATGGCAGAACAGTGATTGGGAAGGATAATAAAAAAACTATGCTTAGATGTAGAAACGATAGAAAGTTATAAAGAGCCGTGATTACACATGTCATGAAAGGCCAAAACACATTTTAAAAGAAGAATCTATGTAATTATTGCAGCGAATGGAAGCGTTGATATATTCTTAAATAAATCGTAACCATAATAATACAATTTACATAAACAGATACACTTGAATCCGAATCGCTGCAGGAAGAGTTTTTTCTCATTTTCTCCCCATCCGTATCAATGGCCAGAAACGAGACCAGGTTAAGGTGACCCCCTCGCTAAACAGGATGCAAGGATAGGCAGCTTTTATCAGTTCTGCCTTCAGCGTATTTCCAGGTGTGTGCTTGTGTCTTTTTACCAACCCTTGCATAGTCTGGCACAAGGTTACAATTGTAACTGAATGAGGAATTAAATCAAACGGATTAGCTTGCGGAACTCGCTTGTCATTACAAGTGTGCTTTCTCTCCGAGAAATTTTAAACTTGAAACAACACCACTTGCTTTTATATGCATATTGAAAAAAATACCCTCCGTATTGCGTCACTTTTAAATGCCGCATATTCTTAAATAGACTTGGGCACCTCGACGTGGTGTTATGGTTAGAAAGCTTGTCTTGCTAGATCAATTACGACTGTGCAGTGAGTTCGATCCTTACTGGATGCCCCATACTTTCGGCCATGTGCCACATCTAAGCCGGACTTAGAAAATCACTATTCTTAAATAGACTAGTCAGATCGGGACTTTGATATGGATGTCATACTTGTCGTCAAACTCCTTCAGACATGTCTGATTTGCCAGCTGTATACAATCGCTTTCCCATGAATGATTAAAAAAATGGCTTCGAGGGAATTTAACCTGTAGGTCTTAGAGAGGACGATCCTTCAAAACTTGAGAACTGGTGCTACAGAATCACAAAGGTCGGAGGTCAAATAACGGAATTTTGGGAACATCCAACAGTTGCAACAACCAGAATGGATAACACAGTTAACTTAGTTTAATACATTAAGGAATTAAAAAAAACAAACTCGATTTTGCATTCAAATCTAATCCCAAAATATCCTAGACTCAGTTTGAGGGCCGTATTCTTTTTGTCTTCCGTCGAGGGTAAGAATGAGACATAGTGAGGATTTATGTAGAGCCCTATACACTAAAACTGGCCCAATCCCTACGGCCTCTGCTTCAAAGGTATCATGGTGAACCACGACCATCCTCTTGTAGCACAGTGGGGCGGAGGGCTTCCTGGAGTTGGAATCTCCAGGGATTAAACTTTCCCGACACAAAAGGCGAAGGTCGGAAAGCTACACTTAATTTGATCCTCACTGCTACCTTATATATATATAAATATATATATATATATATATATAGCTTTGTGCTATACTAAGTTAAGATTACTAAATATTAATGGTTATGCTTTTCTAAGTAAAATGAATTCTTATCTATATCGGTAGAATCAGGGCCAGAGAGTACTACCACTTAATCACCCAAACAGGAAGGTCCATGCCTTATTGGGGGCCCCCCAGAGACGGGATTTGTGACTTTCGCTATCTTATCAACATTTGTTTTTTTAAACCTACATTACAAATCAAACAACGACTGTCGATGAAACATTTTTACGGATTTTGACGTCATCCTGTGGTCTTTTCTCCGTTCAAATCCGTGATTTAAAAAAAAAAAAATTACAATACGTTAAACGCGACATTAGTCTTCTGTGTCCCACCAGCCGTCTGTCTTGCTCTGAAACTAATTTGACGCTAAGCGACAAGAGATGAAAATAACTTTGTCTCAAAAAATCCAACTAGGAACGTTGACAATACAATTTCCACCTATACACTTGATGAAAATAACATGGCGTTATTGTACATAATTAGGTTACATTTAAATTTATATTTTACAAGAATACTACCTTATGAAAATTGAGATATAATAAATTGGGGGGGGGGAGACGTATCATAGATTCAGTGAGGAATGAGACTCTTGTAGTGGCCCTGGATAGAATAAGCTGAGACTTAAATGGTGTCCCCTGCAAATTGTCAGTGAAAAGGCTCGTCTCACAAACCAGGTAACTCGTCTAGAGAGTTCGGTCGCCATTGCTATTAAGGGGAAATTACTAAAAAGAATCGATTTTATTAAATACACTAATTCTTGGATTACTATCCAGTAATGGATAGCGGCTCGGACTGAGGAATCAGTGAGCCGAGTTTGAATTCCAGTTGAATCCATTCACTTACGTGCTAATAACCATTGGAAAAGGTATGAATCCTCTTCTTCTCCCCCAGCTATGGGTAAATAGCAGGACAGACCGGGTTAAATAGCTTTGGGTGGCAACTGGTCTACCACAGAAAGAAACGACAATCTATTGCGGGAAAAAATCTGCCTCGTCAGTCAGAACGGTGGCTAACACCTCTAACAGACGTATGAGTTGACAATTGGACTCGTTTCAAACTCGGAAGGACATAAAAAGAATCAAGATTGGCGTATAAACACGTCTTAGCTGGTTTTTAAGCGTTATATTTTAGACGTGTTTATTCGTCCATGTCCGAACAGACGTATATACACGTCTACGCCGGGGAAGGGATCAAAGAAAATATTTTAGTTCCTCTTCAGTATATCCTACCTTTTGATCGAATGGTCGAGTAACGTGGACAAAGTTCGGGGAGGGCGGAACAGAAGTTTTCTTATTTAATTTTATTTTGTTTGTCCTTATTTGATTTTATTTATTTATGTGTATTCATTTTTGAATTGATAACTGTATATTTCGGCATGTCATATTTTGCTATACTAAGCTGTGTGACCAAAATTGGAAATTATTTTTACGTATATCTCGCTCGGCAGGCACAGTGAAGTAATGGATAGCGGCTCGGATTGAGGAATCGGTGAGCTAAGTTCGAATTCCAGTCGACTCCATTACATGTGCTAATACCCTTGGGAAAGGTATGAATCCTTCTCTTCTCCACACCAGCTATGGGTAAATAGCAGGACAGACCGGGTTCTATAGCCTTGGATGGCAACTGGCTTAACGCAGAAAAAAATGGCAACCTACTGCGGGAAAAATCTGCCTCGTCAGTCATCTCTCGAAAGATACATGATCGCCTAAGCGTGTATCACATAACCGACCTATATCTCGCTATATTTCTTGTATATTGTCTTTTTTCGCGCGCGCAAAAAAAGTTAAAATAAAGTTACTTCCCTGTTCGATTTTATTTTGATTTATTTTGAATTGAATACTAAGTTAAAATTTAATAGATAATATCATATTGTTAGTTTCGT